TTTTTTCTCCTCTTAATATCTCTTTCTAACAGTATTTGTTATTTTTCCTCCTGCTCCCTCTTCCTATTACACCTGAAGTGTTGCTGTCTTTATGGTGCCTTCAGAAAACAGACRRGTTGTTCTGCTGTGCTCTTACTTCAGACTTGTGGCCTGTTCAAGGGACCAGATGTGATGCTCTGTGTCATGCTTTTGAGTCTCAGCTTACTGGAGCAAATCTGCTTTTACAGCTGTCAATTGCAGGGAAGGTCTCGATGGAGACTTTTTGTTTATGAACAGCCACATTTCCCCACTGCAGTTTGTGCTTGGTAGAGTTACTTTACATCTTTAAGGTTCATCTGCCTAAGATACACAGCAGCTCAGTGAATTGAAAGTACACAGAGAAGTGCTGTGGAGAATGAATTTTTTCCTGATTCTTAACACGAGAGGAAAAGCTGGTAGGGAGGCAAAGGCATGTTTGAAACTGAACTTCTTGCACGAGGTGCTTTTGAAATGTCTTCCTTATTTATTTGTTTGCATTTGCTCTTGTTGCAATAGCTTTGGCAGTTTGTTGATGGTTCAAGTAACACACTCAGTTATCTTAAACTATGTTTAAAGGAAAGCTGCAGAAAACAGCTCAGAATTTTAAAGCATAAAAAATATTTTATAAAATTAATATTACTAATTGACAGGTATCTATAAATCTACTTGATGAGGCTGTTGTGTGTTTCACTCAGTGAGAGCTGCCCTGTTATTAATATTTGATGGTAGACAGTCTTTTTGATGAGTTTCTGATAGAGCAAATCCAACTGTGCCTTTGAATGCATGAACAGAGCAAAACCATCATGTTAAGAAGCTGAAATGAACAAGAAAAACTTTCTTAACCCACTTTGGCCCCACAGGGTAATTTAAAAAACTGTGCTTCTCTCCTGCATTCAGAAAGCACATGTACCTATTTGAACATCTTATGGCAGCTCTCTGTTAATGGTCCTGTTTAATTATGTTTGATACTTTATGTATTAAAGCACTTTGATAATTCTGCTCTTTATAACTAACTTTAGTGATTTTTTTTTAAATTAGACTACAGCTAATAGTTTAGCTATAGTCTTTCCTTTCATATGACCTGAAGAACAAGGTCTGTGAAACTTTGTATTTTCCAGGCTGTCTTGGTGTGCAGCTTGAATTTCTTGCTTTGCATTTCCTTGACAGTACTCCTTATTTCCCCAGCTTYCCTTGGAAAGAACTGGAATTTGAAAGAAATTACCTGGTTGTAAAATCGTGATTCCCCATGTGCATAGATCCACAGGGAATTAACTGCATGTGCTCTATGCCTTTCCAAATAATTTTTTTAAATATATTTTTAAGACACAATAAAGTATATGTGCCCAGCAACTGGATGTCACTTCAGCAAATTCTGTGAGATTTGCTTGGGAAGAAGAACCTACAGATTTTGAGAGAAACCAACTGCATGCTGTTAGTGAAATTGCAACCAGTGAGTGGCCTGTTTTATTAATTTCATTTTTCAGATGTTTCTTGCTGTCCCAAYTGAACATAGTCACACCAATGCTGAATGACAGTAAGATGATTCCAGAGCCACAGTTTTAACTTGCCTGCTGGTATAACTGTAGCAATCAATCCAGTGATCTAGAGCTTGACTCTCCTGCCAGCAAAAGTGAGCCACACAAGTTGAGATCTCAAGATCTTTTGAGCTCAGGGCCATGAGGTACCACCTTCCTTTCTTGTCTTTAGCAGCAGCTGCCTTGAAGTCATGCATTTTTTCACCTCACAAAGCTAGATTTCATCAGAGTTCCTGTTTGCACAGGAGCACCTCTATGTGTGATGAGTTAAGACCAGTGGTGGCTGGTTCTAATTTAGCTCGATCCTTAAGTGCAGTTTCTTTCCTAACTGAACAGGCATCCCACTTCAGCCTAAATATTATATGGTCTATTAGGTTAATCTTTTTTTTTTCCACAGATTATTCACTGTAGCCAGGTCAAAACTTTACAGCTTTTGCAGTTGATATCTRTGCATCTTTAGACTTGATAAAATCTCTTGTCTCTTAAAAGAATTATATATATATATTCCTGAATATAGCTACCAAGTTTTCTTTTTGCTGCTGGGCTYTAAAGTGCAATTCAAGTAAGAATTTAAAACAATCAGGAACTTGTAGGAAAAACAAATTATAGTTGGTTGGTTTGGTTTGAGGTTTTTTCCCCTCCAAGGTAGTTCTGAGAGGACCAGGGA